CTGGGGTTCCTGTGTCCGTTGGGCCTGGACCTGCTGCTCTCTTGTGCTCCCCTCTGGTAAAGTAGGTTCTCACAGACTGCAAGCTGGGGGACTTGCGGTCTCCCCCTTTTCCAGATCCCCAGTGTACAAGAGAGAGGTTACCCCGTGTTCAAGAGAACCTCTTTGGCTCAAAGCCCTCTCTGACTCCTGTTCATTCCCTTTTCTGCAGCATCATCATGACCATCTCCTCCACGCTTCTGGCCCTGGTCTTGATGCCCCTGTGCCTGTGGATCTATAGCCGGGCTTGGATCAACACCCCACTGGTGCAGTTGTTGCCCCTGGGGGCAATGACGCTGACGCTCTGCAGCACGCTCATCCCCATTGGTTTGGGTGTCTTCATTCGATACAAATACAACCGGGTGGCTGACTACATTGTGAAGGTAAGGTCACTCTTCCCTTTAGATGCTCTACACGCTTGCAGGGTCCTGGGTCTCTGACCCACGGCTGCAATGCTAAGAAGTTTGGGAAAGAGGAGAAAGGAATGAAAAGGACTTGTCAGCCTTGCATGGATAAACTTAAAAAAGAAGTTTATGCCACAAAGATAATTTCGACCTTTGGAACTTCACAAATTATAGCTTTAATGAAAGCAGAGCTTAATTAAAAACGGCGTAAGAGAACTATCAGTACTCATAGGCGGAAACATATCATCGGGGGAGGGGGGGAAGATGGCAGTGCAATTAGATGGCAACATATTTCCCACTAGCAAATTGTATATTACTAAAAATCAAAGCAGATTAAATACAATTATTTTACTAGAATTTGTGCAGTATTTTAGAAATGAATTACTAATTTCTTAAACTGGAACTCTAATTCTGAGAAACTCTGTAGAAGTTTCCGTTAAAATGTTTTATTAATTTTCTAAAAATAAGTTGACACTAATAAGACTAAAAGTAATTTAAAAATTGCATCTTGGCAATATAATACAATACACTAAATATTGGCTTTAAAGCACAAAATAAAATAGTCCTGGATGAATAAAGCAGAATATATTGCCACTGCTAAATGTGTGTGTTTCTTTTCCTTCCCCATTGCGGTATGTCAAGTGGTTTCTATAGGTAGTGAGAGGATGGGGATTTTTATTATTTTGTGCAATATTTCTAGTATTGTTTTATTCTTAAAAAAAGATGGTTTTTACAGCAGTAGAGATTTTTCTAATAGTGGACTGGAGAAAAATTTAAATAGTTGTAAATTAGGCTTTCTTTGAAAACTCAAAAATCATAGTAAATAAGAGTAAACCATGAATAGGATTCTTATTTTAGGAAGTCAGTCAAATTAGATATGTAACTAATTACTATAGCATGCAAGGGAAATTCCTTTAGACAAATGAAGAGAAAAAGAGCCATTCCAATATTTCAGTTATGTAGATTTAGAAGACATAATCTTTTGTGTTTTACTTATACTAGCTTATTTTCTACAGTGATCTAATTATACAGAGGGGCTAACTTTTATTAATATGAAAAACAGAGTTCTTTTGTGTACATATATCCAGCCTGAGTAAAAGAAATTGTGCTCTATAATAAACATATATATCTGAATGTAATAAATATACATGGTTATGTAAATATACATATATGTTATATATTATGTATAATATACTCATAGATAATCTTGAGATGCATTAAGAACTTATTAAGCTTAATCATTAAAGCTAATACTATTAATGTGATGACATTTACTATAAAACCTTAGGAATTCTAGAGAAAGTCAATCAAATGAGCTATTTCAATGCTAAAAACATAAACATAAAAACATATATTTAGGTAACAGACAGTTCAATAAGACTGGCTAAGTTTAAGGTAAACCTATCTCTATTCCTTAGCCAGCACACAAGTAAGATGCGGTTTATAACATTTTTATATTTTGCAAATACTTTAAAATGAGCATTCGGTGTCAAAGCTCACCCAAATGATTTAAAATAGTTCGAAGGAAACTTTGGAGCCAATATTTTCACAATGAAGAACCAGATTTCCTGTCAAAGCTTTTAATGTGGACACACTTTGAAACTTAATATAAGAAAAGTTTCTGGGCTGGCCCGGTGGCACAGCGGTTAAGTGCGCACATTCCGCTTTCGTGGCCCGGGGTTCACCAGCCCAGATCCCGGGTGTGGACCTTGCTCTGCTTGTCAAGCCATGCTGTGGTAGCCGTCGCACATATAAAGTAGAGGAAGATGGGCACAGATGTTAGCTCAGGGCCAGTCTTTCTCAGCGAAAAGAGGAGGATTGGCAGCAGATGTTAGCTCAGGGCTATTCTTCCTCAAAAAAAGAAAAGTTTTGATTTATAATAGTTTGGTTTCTGCCAATTGTACATTTGTAGCATGAGTACCTTACATAATAATTATTTCAGCATCCTCTAGGGTAGACTTTTTGACCAGCCCAGATAAATTTTAAATAATTTTTAAAGAGTATAAAGTATATGCCAATCCCACAGACCCCAAAGGGATTTCCTCCCAGATATCCAGGGAACAGGAGCAACACTTAAACTGTTCTTCTGGATCTGCAGTCTCCTTCACAAATGCCCACTCCCCCGTTCTAAGAAAACAAGCTAACTACCAATCTGAAGGAGAAATAGGAGAGGAATCTTTAGGTTTCCATCTTACCATTTACACAGCCTGTCTTACTTGAATGAGTGGAATGTACTAGTCAGACATCAAGATGACACAATGTTTCATACAGTCAGTTGTTTTATATCTAAAAGCCATCTATTATATATAATGATTCTTAACCATCTAGAGACTTACAGGTGGGAGGTGTCTCATGAACAGATGAAAAGAGGGGAAGTTGCAGAATTGCAAAGAATTCCTCACATGTTACTTTTCCCCCCCTCTTACATAATCTAGAAATTGGTAATTGGTTTGATATTGCTAACAATCCTCTGAGATATAAAGTATTTTAAAGGTTAAAAATATCACACACTAAGTTTCATAAATTTTAATAGTATTTTCTCTCATGTGTAAAACCGGAATTAATTTCTTATGGGAAACATGGGGTCCTGTTCACGGAAAGTCATGTCCATTTGCCCACTCTATGCATGAGACCATACCTGGTGTGTCGGGTTCAGTTGTAAGTGCTCTGTTTTTAAGAGGTGCATTTACAAATTAAAAGCATGCTCCGAACAGTCAGGACTCCAAACCAGTTATATGGTGGAGGCTGAAAGCCTGGGGACAATCTGCCTGGAGAAGATAGCAGTTTTTTAAACTTTTGAAGGCTATTTTGCAAGGGGAGTAGTCTGGTCTGTGTTGTTCCTGAGGGCCTATCCAAGACAATGGCTAGCAGTTACAGTTACAGAAGGAGAATTGTCACTAGATATAGTGGGCCTCCAGACAATTAGAGCTGTGACGGTAGGTCCAGATGCCTCCTCAAGAGGTGATCTACCCATCTTCAGAAAGATTCTGGCAAAGACTTTTTACGGCAAAGATCTCCATTCTGTGCAGGAGGTCAGACTAGATGGGTCTCTTCTTCCAAGCACCTGGATATCTCCTGCCTGAATTCGTCTCCAACTATCTATTTTTGATGGCTTGTTTATCCATTTTCTATTACTAGGTTTCCCTGTGGTCTCTGCTAGTGACGCTGGTGGTCCTTTTCATAATGACTGGCACTATGTTAGGACCTGAACTGCTGGCACGTATTCCTGCAGCTGTTTATGTGGTAGCAATTTTTATGCCTTTGGCTGGCTACGCCTCTGGCTACGGCTTAGCGACGCTCTTCCATCTTCCACCCAATTGTAAGAGGACGATATGCCTGGAAACAGGGAGCCAGAATGTGCAGCTCTGTACCGCCATTCTAAAGCTGGCCTTTCCACCACGATTCATAGGGAGTATGTACATGTTTCCCTTGCTTTATGCGCTTTTCCAGTCGGCAGAAGCAGGGATTTTTGTTTTAATCTATAAAATGTATGGAAGTGAAATACTGCACAAGCAAGATCCTCTAGATGAAGATGAAGATACGGATATTTCTTACAAGAAACTAAAAGAAGAGGAAATGGCAGACACTTCGTACGGCACAGTGAAAACAGATAATTTAATGATGATGGAAACCACTCAGACTTCACTGTAAACATGGAGATACACAGGAGCCTCTATCTTGCTGAAGTATTACTTCATATTTATGGTCTGTGATAGAGTATATGGTTTACATAAAGGATAACAATTAGTTCACATTATCGTACATGTAACAATTTTGATTTTCCCATTGTAAGGTTGCATGGTATATTAGCCAAACGTTTTCACAAATTACAAATCAATGTCGTAATATAACTTGCACCTGGGACTGCTGAAGTGACTTCTGAACAAGTTAAATCTGCCCTTTGGTTTTCACTGTTACTAATTTCTATAACTGTTTCCAGTATGTTAACTCTTAGAAAACAGGGTCTTGGAAATGTAGAATTTTGGTGCACTATCTGATATGAAAAAAACACGAGCTATATTTGTAAAGCATAAGTGAGTTTAATGTAATTGTTGTTTAAAAAAAACTGTGCTTGCTCCACTTATAAATCCTTGACACTGTTGAATTTTGACCTGTATTCAGAAAAATCCTCACAGGTCAATTAAACAATGAAATAGAGTATTTTATTGTCAAACCTGTATCAAATCAGAGCAAAATTACATTAATGTATTCGATTACTTAATCTGGTCTATTGGTAAAGAACAGCCAACATTTTCGCAGCGGACGAAGCATTTCCATTTCAATTGGGGACTGATTTTGGTTCTTCTGCATTTAGGTAAACACACCCCAAATCAATTTATCTTTTGGAGGGATGATTTGGTTAGGAAAATCTGTAGAACTATGCACCCCAGAGAAGAGCAATAGTCATCAGCACCTCGTGGTCCTCAACACAACCTCGTGGTCTCCATTGGGAGGGTGGGGGAAGGGGGAGGAAGGACGTTCCCCAGGGGAGAAAACAGCCTAACTAGATAGGGATGCCCTAGAGGGCTTTCCCTATGACCAACTGAGAGGGTTCAGTGGGTAGGCTTCTCAGAGCAGCTCTGAGATAGTTTAACTATAATTTGAGGTCATAGGTAGCAGACCCAAAGCAGTTCGGTAAAACCTCGCGTTTTTGCTCACTCGCCAGAGGCACCAGCCTCGCCTCAGCTTTCCGGGCGGCGCAGACACCTGCAATCAGCAGGGCATAGGAACCACCTGGAACAGCTGGTTCTCTTGGAATCCTCTTCTCCGCGGGCAAGTTCACTTACAAATCAGTTCTTGCAGCACAAAGAAAACCTTCTCTCCAGATCATCCAAGGGCATTTGTGCCCACCTCTGAGTGTGGAAAATTTCCACGCAGAGAAGATCGAGGTGGGGCCCCCTCGGCGGGGACGCGGGGACCCGGGCCGGCGGCGGGAAGGGTGCGGGGGGCCGCGCGCGAGCGGTGGTGGGGCGGGCGCTCGCTGCCTCCGCGGGGCCGCCTATTTAGGGCGCGGCGGGCTGCACGGCCGGGCTGCGCCTATGGCTGCCCTGGGGGACGAGGGGCTGGACGGTTACATGTACCCGGCGTGCGCCCCCTGCTCATACCCGATCCCCTACCTGCCCGCCGCTAAGGGCAAGGGCGCGGCGGGCGGGGCCGACTGGCGGCACCGGGGCGGGAGCTACCCTCCCGCCTCCTCCTCGTCGTCGTCATCCTCGGCCGGGGCGGCCCCGGCGGCTCTCCCGGGCTGCGGGCAGCTGGCGGCCGCCGACTACTTCGACAGCTACCAGCGGGCGCAGCTCATGGCCCTTCTGTCGCAAGTGAGCCCGAGCCTGGCCCCGGCACTGCGCAGGGCCGGCGGCCGCGACGTGGCGGTGCAGGTGAACCCGCGCCGCGACGTCTCGGTGCAGTGCTCGCTGGGGCGGCGCACGCTGCCGCGCCGGGCCCGCGACCCCGGCTCCCCGGCTGGCCCCGGGCCTGGACCCCTCCCCGAGGGCGCGGGCGGCGGCTCAGCGTCCCCGCAGCCGGCGCGCCAGGGCCCCGGGCGGGGCAGCCCCCCGAGCAGCGCGCCGCGGCCCGTGCGCTTCCCGCGCACCGTCGCCGTGTACTCGCCGGTGGCCTCCCGCCGCCTCACCACCCTCCTGGAAGGGGCCGGGGGCGCGGCGGGGGAGCGAGGGCCGCCCTCTCCGAGGCCCCGAGGCCCCGAGGCGGGAGAGACGTCGGTGAGGACGGCACCCCAGCAGCCGCAGCCGCAGGACGAGGAGGAGGAGGACGAGGCCCAGGGCGCGGGGTCTGGGCTGCCGCCGCGGGAGGCACCGGGAGGGGAGGCGGCCCCGGGGCGCGCGCCGAGCAGCCTGGAGCAGCCCCCGCCGGGCGGTATGGCCCAGGCTGCCACGGGCGAGAGGCCGTCGCTGCGGAGCCCCGAGCCGGGCAAGGAGCGCCTGCGCTTCCAGGTGAGTCCCAGTCGGGCTGGGGGCCTGGCCGGGGCAGGAGAGCCCGGCGCGCGGCGTCCCCGGTCCCTGGGCTGCCCTCGTCCTCCGCCGCTCCGGGCACGTGGAGGCGCCGGGCTCCCCTGGGGCGGGCCGCGGCGGGGCCGCAGCGGCTTCCGCAGTAGAAGGAAAGCGAGCGTAGGCTGCTTGTTGTTTGCGGTGCTGTACAGCGAGTCGTGCTTTTAACATTCTTATTCTGAGCGTATCCGCAGTATAAGACCCTGACCGTGACCCTGTGGTCCTGTGTTGATCCCGCATGTGGATGATTTAGGATGAGTACGCAGCGGAACATCGGAAGGTGACCTTACTGGCAGGAGAGCTAGTTCCCAAGGACTCCACTTACTTTTCCGAATTCGATGTGGCAAAGCTGGAATAGTCGACTACTGGGGTCGTGGTCGGCTCTGCCCCACCTGACTTTTGCCCGCATTTCCCAAGCTTCTTTTGGAAGCTAGAACTGCTGAAGTGCCTGCCTTAGGATCTTTCCTTGCTCTTAAAAAGCGCCCTTGTTAGAAACCTCATCCTGCTGGAGCGCTTGGGCGGTTGTGTGTTGCTGCCTGAGAGAGCAGCGGGCTTGGAGGGCCAGCTCGCCCCGGCTGAGCCCTGCAGGGCTGGAGTACACTGAGGTGGTTGTAACCTGGGGCAGTGGGAAGGCTGAGAGGGTGGAGGAGGCCTTTGGGGTCCCTTCCACAGTCCCCCCAGGGCTGTTTGGTTGCGGGGGAGGGAGTGGTGGGGTTGCGAATCAAGCAGTTTATACACCAGCTATGTGTGATCTTAAGTAACCTTCCTAAAGGCCTAACTCCAAAAACTTGTTTATAACTTATTTCTCACTGAGAGGGAAGAAGATAAGCTTAAGAGTAAGATAATACTACTTTAGTTCATGGTAAGTGTGAATTCTGGCTTATCCACAGCTGAGAAGCACTGCTGTCCCATGGAAATTTAACTAGCAGCATAATCTTGGGTGAACACCTCAAAGTATTTTAGGATGCTGAGTCTTACTTCTTCAGTGTAACCACTTCCATATGTGTATGTCCTACAATCAAACTTTATCCTCCAGAGAAAAGGCCTCCCTTAAAGAATCTCAAGGTTCAGGAACCCTGGATGTTTGGCTTTTCCCTTGTGGGTCTGAGGGAAACACCTACTTAGTAATCTGTCAATTACTTTGCTTTATGAACCAAGTTAATGATGGCGTATCAACTTCCGTGGGCCCATGCTTGCTTATCTGCTTGATTAAGCTGTTAGCTCACCCAATTATTATGTTGTAGAGACTAACTCGAACCTGATCCTACTTTCCTCCAGGATCTGAACTGAAGTTGTCAGTTTTAAGTATCACATAGACCGTTCCCAGCTTCTGAAATAAAGGACAGTTGAGATGCCATGTTGGTTGAACTTGGGTCTCCTTTGGTTCAGTTCCTAGAGCAGAAGTATGGCTATTACCACTGCAAGGACTGCAACATCCGGTGGGAAAGTGCCTACGTGTGGTGTGTACAGGGCACGAACAAGGTAAGAACACGAGCTGACATCTTCTGGACAAAAGGGTCGGGAGGGTTTTGCTTTAAGTTTTCCCTCTCTCCCATCCCAGGTCTACTTCAAGCAGTTTTGCAGAACTTGTCAGAAGTCTTACAACCCTTACCGAGTGGAGGACATCACCTGTCAAGTAAATCGAATGTTTGCATCTTGTGTCTGAACTGGGGAGCGAGAGAAGGGCTTCAGGCAGTTTCTTGAATGTGTTTCCTTAGCGAGGACAGGTTCCCAGCAACCTAAGGTTTTGGTTGCTTTTTGGCAGAAGTCAGCGAAGTGTAATACTCAGTTGGGAAGTGGGGCCTTGGGCCTGGTTTCCTTCTCCCTTGCAAATCTCGCCCATGGTAGCATCTTCAGAGCCTGTCACCTCGTGTGCAGTCTAGAAGAATGCTTGCCTTACCTGCGACTCAGTCTAATAGATGAGAAAGCAAACTGAGCAGAATTCCTTTCTACGAATGTGAGGTGGTGAAGGTTGACTATTTACACAACTGCATTTTATAAAGCATGTACCCGAGTTAAAGTATTGAATGTAGGCATGGAGTTTTAAAGTTTGCCTCTCCTGAGAGTTTGCAAAGGGATTTGTTTTAAAGAAAATCCAAGTTGCTCAGCTTTATGGGGTTAACTGGTAACATGATCGTTTACTAGTAAGCAAGCACTGCTGCATGGCACTAAAGGGCTTAGATAATCTAAGAGAAAAGAAGTGACTAAACTTGCCTGTTACCACGCAGCTGGTGGAGCCTGACTTGCCAGCTGAGACAGCCTAGTCGATGCACTTGACTCCAGTCAGACATTGGAAGCATTAACGCCGTAGGGTGGGTGGAGGGAAACTAAGCATGGAAAACTTGGACTGAGACTGCGGGTGGAGTAGAGTACGGTTCTGATGTAGGCTGCCTTAACCGCTCTGCTCTTGGCTCAGCAGTTGCTGCTCTGCCGTCTGCCTCAGCTTGAGGTCATTTGCAGCAGGTGGAGGGCCACGGTCAGCCACCAATGCCAGGCCTGACCCACACCGGCCTCGCACCTTTAGCTTTCCTGGTCAAACGCCTCTCTCCCACTCATTTGTCCTTCACCCTTCTAGTGCAGGAAAAGATTTCCTTTTAGACAATTGTTTCAAAAGAAGCTTCACAATTCAGAATCGTGTGCACATGGGACCACGACCCCATGGTGAAACACCCTCTATTCCTAATCTTGTCATTACTAGGAAGGGATCTAGACAGAACAAGATTGCATAGGGCCTTGCTTAGAGTGCATTCAGTAAGTATTCGAATGGACTAGAAAAATAACCTTGGAGTTCTAGGAAGTCACCAAGGGTTTATCTTCTGTATGTACTTCTCATTTTGATTTCAGAGTTGTAAACAGACTAGATGCTCCTGCCCAGTAAAGCTTCGCCACATTGACCCCAAAAGGCCTCATCGTCAGGACCTGTGTGGGAGATGCAAAGGCAAACGCCTGTCCTGTGACAGCACTTTCAGCTTCAAGTATATCATTTAGATGAAAGTCAAAGAGGGGGAAAAAAGGTCCTGCTGGATGTGTGCTAGTGGGACAGCTAAGTTAGCTTTTTCCGTGCTCCTCCTTTCTGCCTCTCCCTTCTCAAGATATGTCAGGAAAGGCTGTGTTTTTGGCAAAGCCTTTAAATAAAAGTATTGCAAAACAATTGATAAATTGCATACAATCTTATTTTTTAAAATAAAGGCTCAGGAGAGCTCATCTTGTGCTCACAGTCTGGACCTGTCACTCTATCTCTAATATGATTCATTCATTGCATACGGAGTGGCTGGGCTCAGAAACTCATAAGCAAGATATTAACTGAAAAGCCGTCTAACCATTAAAATATTCTTCTGGGGAGATGGAGGCAGAGCCATGGCTTGATGTGTGAGATGACACTCTGGGTTATGCCCAACTCAGAACCCTGAGTGGCTGCCTGGCTGGGTGGCGGTGGGGGGCGGGGGGAGCTTCAGTGGGTACAGGTGATCTTAGTTAATAGGTAACTACTTGGGGAGGGAGGCTGGGAGAGCTAACCTGACTTGTTAATCACAATGTTACAGGTGTGGAACGGTGGCTAAGGGCAGCTTAAGGTGGTGAATAACGTCATCGATGGACTTCAGGTGGTAGCTTTTGTTTAAAAATATAGGCCTAAATGTACTTAACCCGAATTAGTTGGACAGGCAGTTTTGGCCTTTCTTGTCACTGGCAGCTCTGTAACTGGAACCGGTGTTTCTCGCCCTATAACATGGGGGTTCTCCTCCTCACTGTACCTCCAAGCTTCCTACCTGATTCCCAAGAGAATAGGGAGGCCCAGCCCCAGAGCTCCCGTGGTCCGTGGGTTGCAGGATGGTATTTCGGTTACAACCTCCGGGACTCAGATGAAATCAGAGTTTGAAGGCTGCTATTGGTTTCCTGGCTATGAAAACAACATAATTGGAACCAGGTGCTAATTATGCATCCTTCCAATTTTCTAACCAGCCTGTTTAGGTTAACCCTTCCTACCTTAGAGGGGCCATGGGAGGACATCTGTTAGCATCTTGGATGCTTGTGTCTAGATAAATACAGGGAATAAAAGAACCTGAAGTGAGTTTGGGGTCTCCAGAACCCATAGAGTGAGGGGAAAGGCCTCTGCATCCACATGGACCTAGGCAGGTGCTGGTAAAGATTCCTAGGCCCCCATCCCTACTGAATCACTGTCTGGAGTGAAGCACCCCAGGTGTTGCTTATGGAACTGAAGTGTGAAAACCATCAAGTGAGTCAGCCTTACTTGAGAAAAATATGGACGTGGCCTCTGCCCTTATGGAGCTTCCAGTTCAGTGGATAGATGGCCATTAATTCCTGCATTAAAAAAAATGGAAGTTCTACCACGTAATATGGAAGAGGTACTTAGTTAAGTGCCTGTAATAAACAGGGGATCTGACTTGGGGAGGTCAGGGAAGGCTTTCCTAAAAAATGACACTTCAGCTGAGCTGAAGTTCGGATGAGTTGAATTAGGCAGAGGGGAAGGAGAGGTTTTCCAGACTATGTTAACAACATGTGCAGAGGCCCAGCGGTAAAGAAAACCAGGAGGAGGCCACAGTGGTAGAATGCTCTGGAGAATGGGGTGGACATGCGGGCAGGCGAGACTGTTAGGCCCAGACAGGGAGGGCTTCTTAAAGCTTGCTCGGGAGGACTGGTGTTAATCGGTCATCAGTGAGAGTCCACTGAAAGGTTTTAAAGCTGTGGTGGGGCATGGTGACAAACAAATTCACCTTTAAAAAGAAATAATCACTCTGGCTGTACAGTGCATGCCTGTCAACCAGGAAGGAGACTTGCAGAGATCAGATAAAATGGTGGCGGGGCCAAAGAGAGATGAACGACAAGAACTGTAGGTCTGGGTGAAGGTGAGGTTTCATTCTAACACCTGTTACTACTGATTTGACTCGCGTGGCATGCAAGTGGTACCTCATATGCACTCAATGGGCATTTGCTGAATGAATGAGGGAACAATAGAGATATACCTGCACTGAGTCCTAAGACAAATTCAATCGCTATTAATATGGCTGTTAATCTTTAAGCTTAATATTGCTTGCCATTAATTTTCCCAATAGAGCAGCTAACCCTATTTTACAGTTGAGGACAGCAAGGATCAAAGTATGTTTTACTTAGTGGGCATTCAGACATTGAACAAAGTGGTACAGAAACTCACGGTGAGTTATGGTGATATGCTAGCAATGAGAAGGCACTGTCGAACTGTGTACCATTGGAAATTTATAAAATGTAATTTTTTTTCAAGCGAGAGATTGAGAGGCTAGAAGGAAATACCCTTGAATACTGTTGTCTTTGGATGTCAAGAGAAGTTACTCTACTTTTCTTCATATTTCCTACATTTGCTAAAGTGACAATGGATTACTTTGAAAATTTTTTTAAAATGCCATAAAGTACAATTTTAATTACATTGATTTGAGGTTGTGCTGGCATGGTGTATGAGCACTTCTCATAGGCCTAAAGGAGGGGAGCTCAGCCTGGCTTTGGTGAGTCTGTTCTTAGAGAAAATGTTAACTATTTCCTCAAGGTAGACCATGGGTTGTACTGCATCCTCTGTTTTTTTTTTTTAAAGATTTTATTTTTTCTTTTTCTTCCAAAGCCCCCAGTTCGTAGTTGTGTATTTTTAGTTGTGGGTCCTTCCAGTTGTGGCCTCAGCGTAGCTTGACGAGCAGTGCCATGTCATCGCCCAGGATTTGAACCGGCAAAACCCTGGGTCACTGAAGTGAAGCACGCAAACTTAACCACTCGGCCATGGGGCCGGCCCCGCATACTCTGTTTTCTATCACTACAAGTAGAAAATATTTTCTAAATTGTGTAAAAATCCTTTGGCTTTCTATTTTAGAAGCAGCATGAAGAAACTGCCAGATCTCTTCTCTTGGTGTTATTTTACAGACTTACTATTTAAAAATTATAAATTTAGTGGGCAAAAGAAAAAGATGGTATGAGCAAAAACTGGGCTCTGATTGGAAATAAAATGTTTAATAAATTAAGCATTTGATATATTTTGTTAATAAATGCAAATTTTGGATTCAAAGGATAAGGAGCAAGGAAGTATAGGTCTGAAGAAAATCCAGTTGCAAAAGGACAATCTTAATGACTATATTTGCATCTTGTTTTCTGCAGGTGTATTCATTTTTATTATATTATTAATAGACTTAGCTGCATATAAATAATATGAAAAGGCAATTTCAGCTGTTTGAAAGGTGATGACCACCTTTTGATTTTTGTTTTCCCCCTTGAAGGGGAACAATTTTATTCTCCCCCTTTACGGAAAGTTATATTTAAGAATAATGAAAGTGACATTTCAAAAGTTTCTAAATGATGCACATTATAATCATTCATCCTTTCTTAAAATACAACACAAGCCAACAGCTACAATGCTTTTTATTTTAACAAAAAGGATATAAGGAGGGTGAGAAAAATAGGGGATGGTAAGATAGGATGTAAAGTGTGGTGTGTCTCTGGACACCATCCTTCTCTTCCTGCCCCACACCCAAAAGTTATTAAATAATTTAAAGGACACCATTTACAGTACCAGAACACCATCAAAATAATTGTTTTTATCAGGGTCAAAAAATACAGTGATTATGAATGTGCCGTGACCAGTTACGGAATTTTACAGGTAACATAACTATAGTCAGCAGTCCAACGGCGTGCACAGTGCCTTCAATTAATGCACTTGAGCATAATTACATTTCTGGCAGGGTCCACACCCCCAAGAAAAGGCAAAGCTAAGCATTTCATTTCTACATTCTAAACTCTGGAATCACAGAGCCCAGTTTAAAAGAAAAGTCACAGTGGATAAGAGATGCATATAAAAAATACAAGGTGTTCCTTTCAAATCAGAGGAATTGTGGGACTACATTCATTTCTTTTACAAAATGCTATTTAAAAAAGGACAGAGAATCCAGTTCATGTTATGCTGCAGACCTAGACAGTGAATGAGTATATTGCATGTTTTGGTAGTCGGTCTTCAGGCTTCCTTTCATTTTCCCCCATAGCCCCAGGTTCCTTTAGGGTGAAACATGTGAGTCCTGAATAAACATATAAAAATGCATTTGCATCTCTCTTCTTGAATTCTGCAGACTTCAGAGCCCGCAAGTCATATATTCTACCATCCATGACCACAATTTTTTTCTTTAGCTTTGTACACCTATTCTTGTATAACAGTGCATTGCACAAATGTACAAGAAAATACTGGTTTTAATCTATACAGTTTCTATAATAATTATGGAGTAAAATAAGTTAACTTTTCTAATGAGAATAGCTGACGGGCAGCATACATCTTTATTTTACATTTTAAAGTCTCTGCAGGCATCTACTTTGGTTAGTTATCAACATTGTAACATAAGCACTGATCAGAGAACTGAGCAGCATTCCAATAACGTTAACAGATATATTATTTCTTTTCGAAATACTGGGAAAGCCCAGTTTTAAAATATTATTAAAATGTTCTAACATTTACACACTATGAAGAGTTAGATCTAATAAAATAAAATTTCTTCAAAAATAATCTTGCAGTGCTCTTTTAGGCATGCTCTGAGACGTTATCACCAAACATCCATACCTTGAAAATATGACTATCACATATTCACACATCCCAGCTCACACACACATAATTCCTTATACAGCCCCAAAAACAAAACACCCACACCCTTATCCCACATGTTGAAAAATCAGTGGTTTTTGCAAAGAAGTGTATGTATATCTATCCGACTGGATGTTCCTCATGTGGATGATTCAGCATTAATTGTAGAGTCTGCTTATGGCCGCTAGAAAGCCAAGCACTCTGCAGGTCTTCAGCTAAAACGAACCAGCCTCGATTTCAGCCTCATGTCACCTGCTTTCCCACGTCTCAGTATTAGAGGCCATTATTGCAAATGTTCTTAAAATTCCTTTCTTTCTCCAGAAAGTAATGTATTTGTATGCATCACTTTTAGCCCTTTTCACGTCGGTTGAATAATCAAAAAATTCTTTCTTCATACAGTTATTGTGGGAGGTATTGGCAGCTGTTAAACAATTAGATTTTTTTCCTTCAGATCTTTGATTTTGACATTCTTTATCTTGAGAAAGTCTGACATTAGTTACACTGTGGTTGTGGATGCTGCCAGAAAAAGTTATCAGTGAAT